CTTATGAATATCATGAACATACAACACATTGATCAAAGTAAATTTCTTTCTGGAAGTGAATTGCAGTTCAACTGTGCATGTACCTTGAATAACTGTAGTATTGTGATTTCCCATCAACACTTGTTGTTTCTTCTCCATAGGTGTATAAGATTTGAATTGCTTCTTATCATTGCAGACATGCACATTTGCACCATAATCAAACCACCAATCCTTTGAATTATTCATAGTTGCCATGTTTAATTCAATCTCCATCCCAATTTGCAATTCAAAGACCATAGAAACTAATCCATTGGTGTTTTGCTCCACAATATTTGGGGTTGTGTCAACCTTTTGCTTTTTTTTATAGTGACACTCCTTCTTGTAGTGACCTTTTTTACCACAGTAAAAACAAGACTTGTCCTTCTTGAATGTGCTTTTGTTGCTAGACTTGTTGGTGATGTTGGTGTCAATGAACTTCCTCTTGTTTCCCCTCTTATTTTCTTTGTCTCTACTCATGTTGCCATTCTCAACAGAATGCACCTTGTTTGCAACTTCTTTCACGTAATTAGCCTTACATTCCCGAGAATCTTTCTCAATTCGAATGTGTTTTATCAAATTATCTACAAACAGGTTCTCGGTTGTATGGAGAAGTTTCTTTCGATAATCATTCCAAGTTGAAGGCAATTTTGAAATAATTGTAGCAACTTGAAGAGGTTCAGAAACTTCAATCATAAGGTCTTTGAGTTTGGCAACATATATTTGAAATTCCTCCACATGCTTAGAGATAGAATTTCCATTAATCATGGTAAATTCAAAATATTTCAAAGTAGTAAATCTATCTGTACCTTGTTTGTCGGTATTGTATTTGGTCTCCAAAGCATTCCAAATGTATCTGGGATTTGTGTAAGATCGAAATGTTTCATATAGACGATCTGACAGAGCATTGAGAATCCTTCCTCGGCGTCTCCTTTCATCATCCTCACGCCTTTTCCTTGCAGCTTTGATTTCATCGGAATCATCATCCTTTGGATTACGGATAGCGGGCAAGTTGGGATCCAAGATGTAGAAGACACATAATTCAGATAAAAGAAGGATCTATCGCGACCTTCGCACAACCTAGGGATTTGGCTAATGGATTACTAAGCCTAAACCTAGCTTGGGCTCTCCTAAGCCTATATCAATTAGCGACTTAAGGTTCGAGTTTTTAACATGCAAGATCATTTCAATTAGGAGTCACCGCTAATCTATTTTTGGTGGGTCGATTAAAAACCCAAGTAAAGTATAAGGAGTTCTATTTTATTCCTACGAACCAGAGATTATAGATTCTGGGACTTGATTACATTAGATTACTCTAATGCCCTTTCAATACCTTTTCTCTTTTATTTTTCAAAAAGAATATTTTGCAGGCAGCTTGAATTGATTTTAACTTATCCACTAACATGCAATAGGTGATCATGCGGGTGTGCAATCAATGAAATTAACACTCAAATAACAAAGCAAGCAAATTACAAGAAAGTAAAGAAATTGATCACTCCAAAACAATCAAATATTTTTGGGGTTTTCTTTTATCTTGAAATGAAGTTTAATCTACATGACACGCGATTTCCTAACGTGCAAACTTTATGGTATGCATATGATATTTTTGGTATTTTTATTAAATTCGGAATTAATAAATACCCTAATTGCGCTATCTAAAAAAAAAGTTATCTAATCTAGTTTAGGGATTAATTTGAACTAATCCTATCCCGACTATTTTTTAAACATGAAAGCATTATCTAAAATCTCATCCACTAAGGAAAATCACATCTAAAACCTATTCTAACTTATTATAGAATTTACCTCAATACCATTTAAATAAGCAGTGTTATCTAACAACCTTATTAAGCCTAGCAAGAAATCTTTTTGTATTTTTTTTTAACAAGCAAGTTATCCAAACCAAAGATAAAAATTTACCTAATCCACACATGTGATCCACGAAGATTTCAAATTAAAGATTACAATAATCTAAAAAATAACCCATCATTTCACAGGTGAAATTAGAGTTATTACAATCTTCAGGCACAACAGTTATCAATATTAAGTTGAAATAATTAAAAAAATGATCCGATATCTTTACAAATCAAATTAGTAATTAAATCAACTTATATCGATAACACCCTAATTGGATAATGCCTAGGATCTCAATAAAATCAATCCGTGGTTAGAAATTAAATATTCAAATCAAATCGGATAAAGATTATTACTTATTCCACGGATAATGTTTCCAACCTCGAAACGCTTCGGAATCGTGGATCACGGCTTACGGATAAGGTTCGGTGTTGTTGGACACGACCAAGAATCTGCAAATATCAGTGAAACAAGCGCACGAATTGAGAAGTAGATGAGAAAAAGAGAGAATTTTTTCCTCAACGTATCGTGAAAACAGAACTCCTGTGGGCGTCGTTAGTCTCTGTATCGGCTCTCAAAAGAAAACCACGTGTGATTTTCTTTTCTCCACTTAGTACGTCTCCCCAAGAGAAGACCTCCAAGTGAATTTTTTAATCCAACTTCCACTAAAGCTCTTTTGACCACCGCTTGGAATTTTCCTTAAACTTGCAAAGGCACAAGAACAGTTTATCACGGAGAGCACAAAGGGGCGCTTGGTGTGACGCAAGGGCAGCAACGTCGTCGATCATGGGAAGGAGCAGCCGCAGGTTTCTCGGCGTGGGATCACGGTAGCTTTGTCGTCACAATGCGTGCTGACGCAGCGAGCGATGTGGTTGAGCAGGACCGTTGTGACTGGGAAGTCACTGAACTTGCTGGACAGCGAGACAGGGACTCACGGCAGTGCTGTGACTCACTAGCAGCTTGCTGGTCTGGGCATCGGTGCTGTGGCAGAGACACAACAAGGAGCTAGCCGCTGTGCAGGGACGTCGTAGAAGAGCAGCAGCAGGATGGTGGCGTCAGGTCTGGGCACAGCAGCAGCAGCTCGCGGACGCCACTGGATTGGCGTGATAGTGGACGTCGGGTAGCGGCGGCGGCGAGCACGGCGTAGGTACGGGCAGCGCGGGTGCGGCAGCAGTTGCGCACATACACGGCCGAGTCTCTCTCTCTCTCCCTCAAATCTCACGTGTGTTTCTCCTCGTATGTGAAACTCTCCAATTTTTCTTTTCCCCGTGGTTGATCGGCCAAGGAGGTATTTATAGCCTTCATAAGTCTAGTTCAAATCAGGATCAATGATAGACTGATTAGAGTTCGTATGGATTTGGAAATTATCCTCAAGAGTTTGACCGGTTTTGGTAATTATCTCTTACGTGCAGGATCGGATGAATGACCAAGATTCAAAGCCAATAGTTAACGGGGTTATTCAAGAATGAAAGATATCAATATTTTCATAACAACCCGAAGAGATAAACTCCACCATGCGAGAGAGAGTGTACCCAATTGACAGCTTTCTCTGCATGGCGTGAAAAGTGGCGTCCAAGAGGAGGGGCAAGCATTATCTATGCTTCTTGTGGATGAGACGAGAAAACACATCTTTTTGTTTAGATCTATCCCACTTTTATGTCCATTTTTGAATGTTCCCCTCCACTTCTTCACCAAATACTTCCACGGCCGAACCTACACTCACCTAGTCACATCTTCTCTTGAATCCGAAGTCCTTATCCGAATCGAAAAAGACACGAAGTAGCCGGGCATGTGGAATTCCTGTCCTACGTGCATACGATCCGTGGAGATATGAATATCATATCTGAAGCTCGCCTCTCCCTTTCCGATCACCAATCCTTTATCGCGTCATCTATTGAGCTCACCTTAGGCTTCCTAAAAGATGCTTGATGCAAATAGATAATGCATCATGCCAAATTTTTGTCTAAGGGTTGTACCAACCTCTAATGTTCTCATGCAATAAAGAATTAAATATAGTAGTCAAAATTGGGTGTCAACAGGATCATATTGTCCTTCCAACGGATGAAATTAGTTCCATAATAGGGATCGATTTGCAATCTGTCAAGATTGCGAGTACTTGATGCAGCCGATGTCTCTATCTCCATTAAAATAATACCTTAAGATTGTTGAGGAAATTTGATTGCTAATGAAGATAGAGAAATAGTAATAGATCCTTAATGCTTTGATACATGATGACAATCACTGTCCTTAAGGTATTATTTGCCCCCGTTATTGTTGCTGCCGGGTTTAGAATAAATATAGCTTCAGGATATACATTAAAGCCGCAAAGAAACGAGTTCAACAATTACTCAATTTTTCTCTTGGAATTTCACCTTGAATGTATTGTTAAAGTTGTGTGAACGAAAAGAGAAGAAGAGAGAGTTCCGAAGAATTTGTAGTTACGAACAGTTGTGGTTATAATAAATAATGTGCGATTTGGTCTCTATTCACAAACAACCAATCAACACACATCTTGAGAATAGGTACCTTATCCCCAATCATCACCACTCTTCACATTAAGAATAACTTTTGTTCATAACCACCGATAACTTCTTTTTAGGACGAAGAGTCATCTCTTTTCATAATCAAGAGTCGCATCTTTTATGATAACAAACTATTTCAACATGCACTCATTGATTTCTCTTTAAAGTTGGAAGTTGGAAGATGTCCAAAAGCTGGAATCGACATATTCCTCGACCTCGGGTGCCATTTACAGCGACCTTCATAAACCAGCGGTCATCATTGCAACATGCTTTGTACTTGTAGCATTGGCCCTGTCGCTTTTTCTCATATTTCAGCATCTCAAGTACTACACCAATCCCGCTGTAAGCTCTCTTCTCCTTTATATAATGTGATTGATCGGTCTGACTCAGTGATATGGGTGGACAAAACTAATCGAATATCATATATGTATACTTTATATTCTTCATGTGGTATTGTCGAAATGATATCGGAAACACGCAGCCAGACTTCCTGCTAATTGTCCTGATGGTATCATGTGCGAACAAAAATCACTTTTCACGTACAGTAACATGGCAAACAAAAATCACATCACAGATGCCATTGTCCAATAACATTTCACGGACGGTAACATGTGCAAACAAAAATCACATCACAGATGCCAATGTCTAATAATATCATAGATCATTTCCAAATCTTCTTCGGGTTCAGGGGACGGTAGAGGCGAGCCCAGTAAGTGGATTCGACCATTTCAACATACAAGGGAAGCTGTAGGATTGCGAACAATATGACCGGGAAGGAAGCCAGCAAAGTGATTGGGATGTAAATCCACTTGAATCGTTCACTTAGGATAGTTATAAGAGCAGAGCTGAACGCCACTATCATAAAGGCCAAAGAGAGGAAGAGAAAAGTAAGGCCCAATATCATTTTTTTCGGCAGTGAGTGGAGGAAATCTTCTTCGGCATAGCGTGAAGTTAAGATAGCCAAGAACATCAAGGTAGAGGTAACAGAGGAGAGGAAGGTAAGAGCGTTTGCAACCGCAAATACCATAAATGAGCCCTTCTTTGGAAAGATCGAGGTCCCCATACTACCATCGTTAACTTCAGGTACCGCAAAAGCCGCAGCGAAAGCTACCGTAGTGATGAGAGTCCCGATGAGAGTACAAGATGATGACGTATCCTTCATCCATTGTCTTGCCTCTTTGAGCAATTTTTGGCGCTGTACTAGAAGAGCTTCCCACAATGTTTTCCTGCTCCCATTGGATCGAATATGTTTAAGAAAAGGAAAGCCCTTATCTTCCACTACCTTCAGCAAAACAAAGGAGGTTGATCAATTTAATGTAAATTAAAGAGCACAAAAGGGTGGCAAACAAATAAGTTGAACTGACCTTAAACCACTGAAGTTCCCGCTGAAGAAGAAAAGCTGCTCCAGAAACATCCGGGTATACACATCTCGGTGACCATTTGGTCACAGACTCCAACTGTCACGCCCCGAACCCCAACAGGCTCGCGACACCCCTCGATGGTCAATCATTGAACGCGACGTCCCAGGACGCGTCGCCGACCCAAACGAAACACTCAACGATAAAGGCAAGCGGAAGCGAATTTAAAACAACCCAGACAATAAAATATGACAAGGGATAGCACAAAACAATAATTCCAAATATACAACATCAAAAGGGAATAATGGTGGGGTATCCTACTTCGCTATACAAAAGAGGGGCACATAAAATATGGGGTAACTTGACCCGTCCTCCATCCCCGAGATACCCTGGTGTCGTCTCCAATCAATCACGGTCGCAGATCTGAAAATGGTTATATAATAACCGTGAGAACGAGTCTCAATAAGCAACCCCCTATACCCCACATAGGCCAATGCGTACCCAGACAAGTCGTACATGCAATCTACCCGATTACATATATATAATTCACATAAATGGACTTACCTCGCCATCCAACCCCATGCCCACACTGCACATCAGTCAAATCATAATAATGCAATAATAGTCAATGAACACATCAAAATCATTCGAGCGCCATACACACGTACGTTCATCCAATTCAACCCAAACACATTTCACATGCGCATCCATCCAACTTTCACACGACCCGAGTCAACACCCCACAGGTCAGCCCTCCGATCAATCCGGGCTCTGTCCCGGGTCAACACCCCACAGGACCTTTCAAAAACAAACTTTCACACGACCCGGGTCAACACCCCACAGGTCAGCCCTCCGATCAATCCGGGCTCTGTCCCGGGTCAACACCCCACAGGACCTTTCAAAAACAAACTTTCACACGACCCGGGTCAACACCCCACAGGTCAGCCCTCCGATCAATCCGAGCTCTGTCCCGGGTCAACACCCCACAGGTCAGCCCTCCGATCAATCCGGGCTCTGTCCCGGGTCAACACCCCACAGGACCTTTCTTACTTTCACACGACCCGGGTCAACACCCCACAGGTCCTTTCTCACAACCCGGGTCAACACCCCTCAGGTTGGCAGCCCTCCGATCGATCCGGGCTTATCAAGCATACACGCCACATAATTCAATCAATTTCATGGCATTCACACGTTCAAATATCACCCAAGTGAGTCCAGACAACAACAATACAAAATTCATCATGCTCTTAGTCATATAAATCAATTTCAATCACCACCCTTTCACCAATGTCAATCTAGCACGCCACATCAGTCAACTCAATTCATGCTCCCGACATCGGCCCACCGACCCGACATTCAAGTCGGCACATTCAATTAATCCAATTCACCCACAAGCGCCACGACAATTCATTCAGGCATATTTATCTCAGTCAATCACTAAATCAGCCGCACAATTATCGCCACAATAATTCACCAATTAAGCACAATCAGTCTAATTAGCCCACGCCTAATTAAAGTCCTAAGCCAGTACTAAACACATCCTAAACAAGTCTAAAAATACCCAAAGTACTAGGTAGGGTTTAGGAAGTCACTTACCTAAGTTTGGCCCGGGAAAAGTCGGCTCGGGCCCAAAATGGCCCGGTGAAACAAGACCGGACCGGGCGCGGCCAACAGGCGCGGTGGCCGGCCAACGCGGGCACAATGGCCGATCGGCGTGCACTGGTGCGCGGGCGCGATGGCCTTGCGGCGTGCCAAGGGGCGCACGGGCGAATGGACGGGCGACGCGCTGGTCGGACGGGCACGGCGCGCGGGCGAGCTCGGCCACGGCGCTCGGCCATGGGCACGGCCCTCGACCACGGGCACAAGCACGGGCACGGGCACGGCGACGGGCGCGCGGCTTGGTCGCGTGGGCGACGAGCCGGCTACGGCCTGGGCTGGCTGGTCGGGGCTGGCTGGCTGGGCTTGCTCCGGCAGCTGGCGGTGGCGGTGACGCGGCGGCGAGCAGGGCGGCTCTCCGACGACCAGCTCGGAGGGAGAGAGTAGAGTCGGCCGGAGTGGGGTGGCGAGGGAGAGAGAGAGCTGAGGCGGTGAGGGCTCGGAGCCGGCGATGCTCGGGCGGCATGGCGACGGTCGGTGGCAGAAGGGACGTCGGGTGGCGTCAGGCTGGCCGGCTGGAGCGACGGCGAGCGGCGGCGACGAACGTCGGAAAGCCAACGGGGAGAAGAAGAGGTTGGCTGAGGCGTTTGGTGCGGCTGGGGGACGCTCGGCGGTGACGACAGCGACACTCAGGCGTCGGGGTGGCGCTGGGGAGCTGGCCGGACGACTGGACGACGGCTGGGACTCGCCGTACGCAGCGGCGAGCCGAGCTCGCGCGCTCGGGAGGGGGGGAAAGGCAGCGTCGGGACGGAGCCACCGAGAGGTGCTGCGGCACGGCGAAGACGCGAGGGAGACGGCGGCGAGCCGAGCTGGCGACGGCGACGCGTGACGGCCAGGCGACGGGGCGACCGGCGGTGGTTGCAGTCGGCGAGCAGAAGCAGGAATGGAACCAGTCGGGCCGAAGAAGAAAGAAGAAGAAGAGGAAGGAGAGAGAAGAAAGAAGAAGAAGAGAAAGAAGGAGAGAGGAGAGAGAAGAGAGACAGAGGGGGGGAGGGGTTGGTCTGCATGGGTCAGAGGGGAAGGGACGTGTGCATGGGGAAGGCGTGCGCGGCGGAAGAGAAAAAGAAAGGAAAGAGAGAGAGAGAGAGAGAGAGAGAGAGAGAGAGAGAGAGAGAGAGAGAGAGAGAGAGAGAAGAGAGAGAAGAGAGACGTTGCAGGGGGGGTGGGTGGCGCGGCGCAGAGGAGAAAGGAGAGAGAGAGAAAGAAAAAGCTAATATTTATCCTCGAGCGCGAACCAACGGACACGGTTCGAATCCAAAAACAATCAACGGCCCACAAAAAGCCTAATTAATATTATAGGGCAATTGGCTGAAATAAAATAACTCAAAACACACTACGAGGGAGGTCTGCTAGTCTAAATCCGCACCCGGTCGAAATTTCACTTTTCCACTATTCCTGGCAATCTCGAGGCTGGCCACAATAATATCGACACCGTCCAATTTATTTCGTCCCGAAACTCCCGAAAATCTACTGCCAAGTTCGGGGTCTAAATAACGGCAAAATTCGATCGAGTGCGATTCTAGCAAAATCTCTATTTTTAAAACAAGAACCCGAGAGTGTTCAGTTCCCGGGCGAGATTCTATTATAAGCGCACTGACGAATTACACGTTCTATAAATCCCAAAAATGGGTCAAAATCCGGAATGTCACAACTCTTCCCCCCTTACAAAAATTTCGTCCTCGAAATTTACAATCCAACCCAACTATTCACACAAATGGGGGGGTATTGATGTCGCATCAACTCTTCGCTTTTCTATGTCGCACCTTCAGTCCCATGATATTCCCAAATCACCTTAACTGTTCCTATTGACTGCTGAACCAACTCGGGACCCGTGATGCTCCTCTCACCCACTTCATCCCATCAAACCGGTGTTCTGTAAACTCTGTCATATAGTGCTTCGAATAGTGTCATTCTGATACTCTGCTGATAGCTATTATCGTAGGCGAATTCAACCAAATGTAGCTGTTCCTCCCAATCACCCTTAAAATCCAAAACACATGCTTGCAGCATGTTCTCCAAAGTCTGAATCGTTCTTTTAGACTGGCCATCCGTCTGGGGATGATAAGCCGTGCTAAACTGTAACCTCGTTCCTAATACCGTATGAAGACTTTTCCAAAAAGCGACAATAAACTTGGGATCATGGTCCAAGGTGATCGTCACTGGTACTCCATATAGATGAACTATTTGTTGCGCGTACAATCTTGCGTACCTTTCTAACGCGAAGTCCTTTCGCATTGCCAGAAAATGTGTTGATTTTGTCAACCGATCTACTATAACCCAAATTGAATCACGGCCCCTTTGGCTCCTTGGTAGTCCCATAACAAAGTCCATCGTGTTATGCTCTCATTTCTATTCGGGGATTTCCAATGGCTGCAACAATCCACCCGGCTTACAATGTTGCGCCTTCACTTGTTGGCATGTTAGATACTCGGTCACTTGCTTGGCTACATCTACTTTCATGCCTTCCATCAATAATGCTGCCATAGGTTCTGATACACCTTAGCGCTACCAGGGTAAATACTGTAATTACTACGGTGGGCTTATGATAAAATTTCCTCCTTAAGCTCTACATCATCAAGCACATATAACCTTCCACGGAACTTCAGAATCCCATCCTCGAATACCTAAAAGTCCGGTTTCCTCTTTGTGGCATCCTTACTCAGGATCTTTTGAATCTCTGGGTCCGTCGACTGTAAAGCCTTAATCTTAGTCTAAATTTCCGGCTCAATTATTAATGTGGCAAGTAGACTTGAGAACATGGCTCACTTCAAACTTATACTTTGAATCCCGGACTCCCTCCAACAAGGTCCATTCTTTGACCATCATATGCGCGATGCTCGATTTCTAACTCAGTGCATCCGCTACCTTATTAGCCTTTCCGAGGTGATATAAAATATCGCAGTCGTAGTCCTTAAGGAGTTCCATCCAATGACGCTGCTCATGCTAAGTTCTTTTTGGGGAGACAGATACCTTTAAACTCTGATCATCTGTATAAATCTGAAATTTCTCTCCACACAGGTTATACCTCCAAATCTTAAGAGCGAAAATAATCGTGGCCAATTCCAAGTCATGCGTCGGATAGTTCTGCTCGTGTGGCCTCAACTGTCGCGATGCGTATGCCACTACTTTCCCGTGTTGCATTAGCACGCATCCCAATCCTCTTAACGACGCGTCACTGTAAATCTCATATCCTCCCGGGCCTGACGGGATCGTTAACACTGGTGCGGTCGTCAATCTCCGTTTTAATTCTTGGAAGCTCCTTTCGCACTTATCCGTCCGTTCAAACCTCATCTCCTTCTTTAGTAACCGCGTCAACAGCGTCGCTAATGCCGAAAACTTCTCCACGAAGCGTCTATAATAACCTGCTACTCCGAGGAAGCTCCGAACCTCGGTTACTGTTGTCGGTCTCGGCCAATTCGTGACGGCTTCAATCTTTGTCGGGTCCACCGCAATTCCTTCTCCGGATATCACATGTCCTAAGAACGCCACTTGGTGAAGCCAGAATTCGCACTTACTGAACTTAACGTAGAGTGCGTGTTCCCTTAAGGTCCGTAGAACCTCTTCCAAATGTACCTCGTGCTCGGCGGAACTCTTTGAATACACCAGAATATCATCTATGAACACAATTACGAACTGATCCAGAAATTCCTTGAACACCCAATTCGTCAAATCCATAAAGGCTGCAAGTGCGTTTGTCAGTCCAAACGGCATCACCGTAACTCGTAGTGTCCATACCTCGTCCTAAATGCCGACTTCGGCACGTCCTCCTTCTTGATCCTCAATTGGTGATAACCAGTCCTCAAGTCGATCTTACAAAATATTGATACCCCTTGTAACTGGTCGAACAGATCATTTACCCTTGACAATGGGCGTTTATCCTTAATAGTCACCTGATTCAACTATCTGTAGTCAATACATAACCTTAACGATCCGTCCTTCTTCCTCACGAATAAAACTGGCGCTCCCCATGGAAACCCACTCAGACGAACAAAACCTTCATCCAATAACTCCCGCATTTGGACTTTCGATTCCTTCAATTCCGACAGTGATATCTTGTAAAGCGCTCCCAAGGTCGGTTTTGTCCCTGGGGCCAACTCAACCACAACCTCAACTCTCCTATCAGGTGGCAATCCCGACAATTCCTGAGGAAAAACCTCGGGAAGATTACACACCTCAGCTATGTCCTTTAGCCTTGATTCCTCAATCAACTAATCAGCCACAAATTAATTATCTTTTTACACCTCAAAGACAAAGCTCAATCCATCCAAATTTCAATCCAACAGTCTCTCAAAAACAACTCACATCGGTTCTTTACAAAATCTGTAATCCCTAAGCAACACTCATCCATCCCAACTCGTCCAAGAATATCGTCAGTAATTTAGAAATCCTTAAGTCGATTGCGCCTATCTACTATAAGCAATTATACGTCGTACATGACCATTAGCGTTACAACTTCAAAATCATCGCCTATTGTACCCAATATCAACACGTAACGCCTCTAGACTTTCGCGGCACATCCTCTGATTCCTTTCCCACCACAGTGTACATCTTTCCTTACGTCCATAGCCGATTCTGATTAATCTACAGGGTAGCTCTCGCTCAGTGTCCTACCTGCGGTCGCTGCGATGGCATTAGTGACCTAACCTGTCGGTTCAACAATTTCTCACTTGGTGACCTTACTGTCCACATCCACAACATGCTCCACTTCTACCTTGGCAATGACCATTCCTATGCCTCTTTCCGTAAGACCGACATGCGGAGTTCGGCTTTCCAAAGTTCCTTCTTACTAGAGGGACAAATTTCATTTCTCTGTCATAGGCTTCTTTCCAAAGTTCCTATTGTCCTTAGCCGGCGTGTACCGCGATCCATATACGGTAACCCTCTCATTTATATCCCTTTCAACCGTTTAAGCCTCGTCATATAGCTCATTACAATCCCTTAAGTTCATTAGCATCAACTGACTGCGAAGATTCGGTTTCAGTCCATCCTGGAACCTCTTTGTCCTATCCACATGATCAATAACTATCATTGGTGCGTACTTAGACAACCTTACAAACTTGACATCGTACTGATCGACTGACATTCAATTTTTAACGAAGCTGAAGAAACCCTGTCATTTTCTGTTCTCGCGCACTCTCTGAAAAGTACTTCCCATTGAAAGCCTCGATAACGACACCCCAACTTAGAAATATGCCCTCTGAAATATCCCACTTTGGGGGCTCTCTTACCAATCATTTACATTTCCTTAAAGTTGATATATAGCCAGGGTCACTTTCTCCTCACCAGTGCACCCGAATACCTCCAAAGCAATGTAGCCTCAGGGTCACTTTTACCATCGAACTTCAGAAGTTTCAATTTCAAATATTTTCTAACCAGCTGGCGCATCTATATGACTGCATTAACTTGCCCTTGACCTTGATTCCCAACATTTCCATTAACGGCGACAATAATGGCCTCAGCATCAGTGGCAACAGTAGCATTTCGCTCCTCAGTTTGCCTTCCCATTAAAATTCCAACTTCCTCGAGTGCCCTTAAAATTTCATCCCATCTGGAATCCTCTGCAACTCTAGCTTGCGGACCTACATGACCTCGACCTCGACTGCTCAAACTCACAAGGTCACACCACTCACTTACCTGCTATAATTCCCCTCGGGAATTAAAGACCTAGGCCAACTATATCAATCTAAAGCCCTAGGCAGTGAATCACAACAATAATTCACTTAGCAGGCAGCCAATCATCCATGACACCAAATCACAATCACAATTCACAAAGCAGGCAGCAAATCACCAACATCACTCAATCACAACCAACAGGTTTCACGCACTCACCTCAAGTCCCGACGCACCTGCATTTCACATATCATTGCATATAATCGCTCAGCAATCATAATCACACGGTCTGGGGTACGCATGGCACACGAGTCTCCCTAACTGGCTACCCCAAAGTCATCGCTCCTTATCACTCCAGGCTTCGACCACTTGGATCAAGCTGACCTGGCTCTGATACCAAATCAACAGGGATGTCACGCCCCGAACCCCAACAGGCTCGCGACACCCCTCGATGGTCAATCATTGAACGCGACGTCCCAGGACGCGTCGCCGACCCAAACGAAACACTCAACGATAAAGGCAAGCGGAAGCGAATTTAAAACAACCCAGACAATAAAATATGACAAGGGATAGCACAAAACAATAATTCCAAATATACAACATCAAAAGGGAATAATGGTGGGGTATCCTACTTCGCTATACAAAAGAGGGGCACATAAAATATGGGGTAACTTGACCCGTCCTCCATCCCCGAAATACCCTGGTGTCGTCTCCAATCAATCACGGTCGCAGATCTGAAAATGGTTATATAATAACCGTGAGAACGAGTCTCAATAAGCAACCCCCTATACCCCACATAGGCCAATGCGTACCCAGACAAGTCGTACATGCAATCTACCCGATTACATATATATAATTCACATAAATGGACTTACCTCGCCATCCAACCCCATGCCCACACTGCACATCAGTCAAATCATAATAATGCAATAATAGTCAATGAACACATCAAAATCATTCGAGCGCCATACACACGTACGTTCATCCAATTCAACCCAAACACATTTCACATGCGCATCCATCCAACTTTCACACGACCCGGGTCAACACCCCACAGGTCAGCCCTCCGATCAATCCGGGCTCTGTCCCGGGTCAACACCCCACAGGACCTTTCAAAAACAAACTTTCACACGACCCGGGTCAACACCCCACATGTCAGCCCTCCGATCAATCCGGGCTCTGTCCCGGGTCAACACCCCACAGGACCTTTCAAAAACAAACTTTCACACGACCCGGGTCAACACCCCACAGGTCAGCCCTCCGATCAATCCGGGCTCTGTCCCGGGTCAACACCCCACAGGACCTTTCTTACTTTCACACGACCCGGGTCAACACCCCACAGGTCAGCCCTCCGATCAATCCGGGCTCTGTCCCGGGTCAACACCCCACAGGACCTTTCTTACTTTCACACGACCCGGGTCAACACCCCACAGGTCCTTTCTCACAACCCGGGTCAACACCCCTCAGGTTGGCAGCCCTCCGATCGATCCGGGCTTATCAAGCATACACGCCACATAATTCAATCAATTTCATGGCATTCACACGTTCAAATATCACCCAAGTGAGTCCAGACAACAACAATACAAAATTCACCATGCTCTTAGTCATATAAATCAATTTCAATCACCACCCTTTCACCAATGTCAATCTAGCACGCCACATCAGTCAACTCAATTCATGCTCCCGACATCGGCCCACCGACCCGACATTCAAGTCGGCACATTCAATTAATCCAATTCACCCACAAGCGCCACGACAATTCAGTCAGGCATATTTATCTCAGTCAATCACTAAATCAGCCGCACAATTATCGCCACAATAATTCACCAATTAAGCACAATCAGTCTAATTAGCCCACGCCTAATTAAAGTCCTAAGCCAGTACTAAACACATCCTAAACAAGTCTAAAAATACCCAAAGTACTAGGTAGGGTTTAGGAAGTCACTTACCTAAGTTTGGCCGGGAAAAGTCGGCTCGGGCCCAAAATGGCCCGGGTGAACGATCACGGGATCAGGCGCGGGCGCGGGCCAACAGCGCGGTGGCCGGCCAACGCGGGCACAATGGCCGATCGGCGTGCCTGGTGCGCGGGCGCGATGGCCTTGCGGCGTGCCAAGGGGCGCACGGGCGAATGGACGGGCGCGCGCGCCTAGTCGGACGGGCGACGCGCCTAGTCGGACGGGCGACAGCGCACAGTCGGACGGGCACGGCGCGAGGCGAGCTCGGCCACGGCGCTCGGCCATGGGCACGGCCCTCGACCACGGGCACAAGCACGGGCACGGGCACGGCGACGGGCGCGCGGCTTGGTCGCGTGGGCGACGAGCCGGCTACGGCCTGGGCTGGCTGGTCGGGGCTGGCTGGCTGGGCTTGCTCCGGCAGCTGGCGGTGGCGGTGACGCGGCGGCGAGCAGGGCGGCTCTCCGACGACCAGCTCGGAGGGAGAGAGTAGAGTCGGCCGGAGTGGGGTGGCGAGGGAGAGAGAGAGCTGAGGCGGTGAGGGCTCGGAGCCGGCGATGCTCGGGCGGCATGGCGACGGTCGGTGGCAGAAGGGACGTCGGGTGGCGTCAGGCTGGCCGGCTGGAGCGACGGCGAGCGGCGGCGACGAACGTCGGAAAGCCAACGGGGAGAAGAAGAGGTTGGCTGAGGCGTTTGGTGCGGCTGGGGGACGCTCGGCGGTGACGACAGCGACACTCAGGCGTCGGGGTGGCGCTGGGGAGCTGGCCGGACGACTGGACGACGGCTGGGACTCGCCGTACGCAGCGGCGAGCCGATCTCGCGCGCTCGGGAGGGGGGGAAAGGCAGCGTCGGGACGGAGCCACCGAGAGGCGCTGCGGCACGGCGAAGACGCGAGGGAGACGGCGGCGAGCCGAGCTGGCGACGGCGACGCGTGACGGCCAGGCGACGGGGCGACCGGCGGTGGTTGCAGTCGGCGAGCAGAAGCAGGAATGGAACCAGTCGGGCCGAAGAAGAAAGAAGAAGAAGAGGAAGGAGAGAGAAGAAAGAAGAAGAAGAGAAAGAAGGAGAGAGGAGAGAGAAGAGAGACAGAGGGGGGGAGGGGTTGGTCTGCATGGGTCAGAGGGGAAGGGACGTGTGCATGGGGAAGGCGTGCGCGGCGGAAGAGAAAAAGAAAGGAAAGAAAGAGAGAGAGAGAGAGAGAGAGAGAGAAGAGAGAGAAGAGAGACGTGCGCAGGAGGGGACGTTGCACGGGGGTGGGTGGCGCGGCGCAGAGGAGAAAGGAGAGAGAGAAAGAAAAAGCTAATATTTATCCTCGAGCGCGAACCAACGGACACGGTTCGAATCCAAAAACAATCAACGGCCCACAAAAAGCCTAATTAATATTATAGGGCAATTGGCTGAAATAAAATAACTCAAAACACACTACGAGGGAGGTCTGCTAGTCTAAATCCGCACCCGGTCGAAATTTCACTTTTCCACTATTCCTGGCAATCTCGAGGCTGGCCACAATAATATCGACACCGTCCAATTTATTTCGTCCCGAAACTCCCGAAAATCTACTGCCAAGTTCGGGGTCTAAATAACGGCAAAATTCGATCGAGTGCGATTCTAGCAAAATCTCTATTTTTAAAACAAGAACCCGAGAGTGATCAGTTCCCGGGCGAGATTCTATTATAAGCGCACTGACGAATTACACGTTCTATAAATCCCAAAAATGGGTCAAAATCCGGAATGTCACACCAACAGGCCCTCAACCGTCCAAATATTGTCAATCAAATATGGAATTGTGTTGTGTGCATTCACTAGTCTAAACAACTCAACATGCCGTCCGTTCACAACTTCTTTTATAAGTTCTTTTGTGAAATTTTTATCCCACATCAACTCCGGAAAATGCTTAATACATAACTTGACAATTTCATAGATTCCGCTACATGTAGCATGAAGGACGATGTGCAAAGTCAATAATTGGAGTAGTTCAGGAGTTTCCATATGAGTCTTCATCTTGGTAAGAGCTAGATTTGCAAACTCAATTGAACATTCGTGCCTCAACTTTGATTCTCCAATCCTTTTGATGAAAGGTGCTGTACGTAATATCATATAAGCAATTTTCCAATGATAAAGAATCGACAGGTTAAAGAGGCTCTCCCATTTGCGTCGTGGTCTTATTTATATATAGTAGTTGAAAAATAAAATTATGGATTTAATATATTAACCCATATAGCAAACTTCTTATTACTTGAAAATCGAATGCATGCATCATTTAACAGTTAGATCTATCAATGAACACACACAATCTCATGAGAAAAAAAGAGTAATTTTCTTGAGAAAAATGGGAAGATTAGCAATGGATCAGTAGATTCGTTTTTATTTAGTTTCCTTACTAAGGCACCTAATGGATACATATCGTTTAGACTTTGAATCGAATCATAGTCTCCCAGTATACGAATCGAGAGACGGTCCATATCAAGAACTATGATCTCAAAGGGATATACTGAAAACATCAATTTACACTTTTTGAAATTTAGAGATCCCTATTGTCGGTAGGTCCTTTTTCTGTAAATATCTTGGCAGTTTTGTGTACCTGGTATTGTGCCAAAATTCCAAATTAATGTCTTGAACCGCTTTGCTACCACCACAAAGAGGAGAGAAGAATCGTGTCAGCAATAGGAATTGATGACAAACAAAAGATACATTAAATTTAATAATGCTTGAAAATGTCCAAAAACAACTTGGATTAATCAACCTCTATGAACTGAAATCCAAATGTACAACTTTTAATAATTCTACTTGTCAATTTGACATTGAATAAGAATTCTGGACTAATTTTACAAACGTTACATTAGATATTAATTTGTGACATATATTATGGTTTAAATATCAATTTTTATACATAGACGTAGTCCTTGTCCCCTAACTTTTTTTTGTCAATAGGATCCCCAAATGATAAGCTTTTTGTTGTGTCAGTTCATCCACGAAGTATATTAACAGATATACCTCGGGTCATCTTCATGTCATTGGAGTTGTCAAATGATGTATCAACCAAGCATAGAGGGATACCTAAAAAAATGAGAACAGATAGAGTGAACACCATGTCGACAGAGTTGCTCGAATTGTACATATCTAACAAAAGAAGCGCTAGAAGCACGTACATTTGTAAATAAATCTTTCCCAAAAATTGAGTTTAGCTCCACTAAGGAAGTAATTCATCTTCACCAAGTATTCCAACGGACTACGGTTTTCGCGATCTTTGGATGTGGCTAACTCAGCATATCTGTGCGCTAAATACAAGGCTATATCTTTTGGAATACAAGAACCAAAAAGTTAATTTAAGCAAACAGTAAATGAAATGGGATAAATAAGTGAGTGTAAAATCCTACCCAAATGGCCGGTCTTGATAAGGGTGGTCAAGCTACTATAATGTGGAGCGGATGTTGTGCGTCTAGCCAGGTAGCTGATAACCTCCTTTTGCATAGGAGCACCTGAAACAGCAGCCGAGAAGGCAAGGGCTACACTTTCAGGTTCAGCATCAACTTTGTCTACTAACGCCATTACCATCCTTATTCTTCCTCCCTTGGCAGCATTGTAGAGAGCACTACTGAAATCTTTATATTCTGGAGGGAAGCACTCGATTAGGTTCTCGACCAATTGATCTTGTGCGAACATAACCGCAACATCGAGCACGGTAAATTGATCATGTTCTACAGTCATAACTTTGGCCATCATTGCTTCGTGATCTTCATTAAGGATTTCTTGATAGCTTTCCAGTCACCTTTCATTGCGGCTTCAATCAATGGTCGATACTTTTCATTGACCTCTGGTGTTGGTCTGGCTGCAAAAATTGCACATTATAAGCCCACAGGTTTTCGCACTTTCGGTTGTTTAGGTCAAATGTAACCATTGCAACTGCTCATAGTTGCAATGAAATGTGGAAGCAAGTGCAGGGCTGATCGTTTACTCGACATACCTTTTTATGTGAGAGCATCAGTTTACTCTTTGGAAGTATCTTTTTTGGGGCCTTCTCAATTATAATTTCAGATATTATTTAGATTATAAAAATTATGAAAAGATTATGTTTGAATTTATACGTTATGTTGTGAAATTTGGAAAATTTTGGATTAAAAAAAGTCAAAATGCATGGAACACAGGTTTTGTGAAAAACTGAAAATCAAAAGTTCAAAGTGACAAACCTTCACTTGGTGCTCCATCTTGGGAAGCTTTATTTGTTGTTGTCCCTTCTGAACTCTTGTCTACTCGAACCTCTTTGATACCATAAGAGAAATGAACATAAATTACCTTAGAAAAACTAATTACAGTTGGTATGCTTTAGATCATTTACACATGACTAGTATCAGGCTCGTTCATTGCATAGGATCTTTTGTACTAAACTCAACAGGTAAACTTCTAAACAAAAAACAAAAATTTAACTTTAAACTTAACAGAGATAATGAGTTCTTTTTCGAGATAGTAATTATATTATGACTTAGTTTTGTGGGACCTTCAAACTTAATCTTGGGCAATGTGTTTTTTAATGAATTTGTTGAGTATGTATTAAATTCTATTTCAGGTATTCGACCCAAATTGATTTTTTATATCCGAATTGAAATTTGTGGATACTCGACTTGAGAAAAAATGTAGGTTTAGTGTTTGTAGTGGAGGGCTTGGGGGCCCAAGCCCGTAACCTAGCAGTATAAATATTTTTTTTTCTCAAATTATTAGGTTGAGAAATAGAGATTAAAAAAGTCTTAAGGTTTTTTAGCCACATTTTGTAATTCTTGAAGTGCCATAGTGGATTTTGCTTCTCCTCTCCCTATGGTTTTTCCCGCAAGGGTTTTTTTATGTAAATCTGTGTGCTTTTTTATTCTTTTTAGTTTTAATTTTGTTGTAGTTTCTACATTGGCCATAACAATCGGATATCAAAGCCATAGGGTTTTCTCGATCTTCTGATTATGGATTCGAGTTCAACAACGAAATTTGATATTGAGAAGTTTCACAGAGCAGCAATTTTAACCTTTGGCAGGTTCGTATGTTGGTTGTTCTTACATAGTAGAGTTTGTAGAAAACTCTAATTGGGAAAGGGAAGAAACCGACATGCACGTTAGATGAAACTAGGGAAGAATTGGTTGAACATGCTATGTTTACTATCCAATTGTGTCTCGTGAATGAAATTCTGCAGGAGGTACTAGAATAGAAAACAACGGTAGGTTTTTGGACAAAATTGGAGAGTATTTTTTTTGACAAAATCCTTCACCAATTGCTTGAAGCTCAAGCAACGACTCTTCAATCTTTATATGGCTGAAGACGCTTCTCTTAAGTCTCACAATTCTGAGTTCAATGCTATTATTTCTGAATTAAGAAGTATTAATGTTAAGATTGAATGTGAGGATCAAGCTCTTTTTTTATTAGTTTCATTACTTCCCTCTTATAAGAATTTTAGAGAGACCATGATTGTTAATAAAGAAACTATCGATCTTGAAGATATCAAAACCAGTCTTTTAAATAAGCAGAAACTAGATACATATGAAGGCAGTAGTGATCATGGGACTGGTTTAACAGCTAGGGAAAGGTCTGTTGAGAGAAGCAATGATAGCAAAAGAAAGTCAAAATCAAAGTATAAGGATCTGATTTGCAACTACTGTAAGTCTAATGGGTATATCAAGAAGAATTGTCCGAAAATGAAGCCAAAGAAGCAAAGAGAAAATAATTCGAATAAGTGAAATCAAGGGAATGCAAATCAACAGAACAATCATAACTACCAAAACAAACGGAATCATGGATACGAAAATTCCGCTCAAGTTGGTGTTACTAAAGAAGAAAATAAAGACCTGTTATTAGTTGCAAATGATAAAGACAAATTCAGTGATAATTGGATTAATGATTCAGGCTATCCGTACCACATGTGTCCTAATCGTGATTGGTTCTCCACGTACAAAGGATATAATGGCGACGTTATTATAATGGGAAATAAGGCTAAATGCAAAGCAGTTGGGATTGGGACTGTCAGCATTAAGATACACGACTAAGATGCACGACGGCATGATAAGAACCTTGAAATATGCCAAACACATTCCTAATTTCAAGAAGAGCCTTGTCTCTTTGAGTACACTTGATGCTCAAGGTCGTAGGTTTATGGATGAAGGTGGAGTTATAAAGATTATGGGAGGTTCACTTCTATTGATGAAAGGGTTGAAACTTGGCACTTTATATTAGCTGCAAGGCACTATAGTTATTGGTTCAATTGCAGTCTCATCCGCTATGATAAAATCAGACAACACTAAATTATGACATATAAGATTAGTCCATATGAGTATTAGAGGGATGGATGTGCTGAGTAAGAGATGCTTTCTATGGGGTCAAAAAATTGAAATTTGTTTTTCTGGGAAAATTGTGTTTTCGGGAAACGGAAAAAGGGTCTGTTTCAAAATAGAAATACACACAACAAATGGCACTCTAAATTATATTCATTCTGATCTTTGGGGCTTGCGAAAGATCCTTCGGAAGGCCTTGGTTCAAGGTATCTACTCACTTTCATTGATGATTTTTCAAGGAAGGTTTGGGTCTATTTTCGAAAGCAAAAGAGTGATGTTTTTGTTATATTTAAGCAATGAAAAATATTGATTGCGAAACAGACCGATAAGAAGATCAAGAGGTTGAGAACTAATAATGAGCTAGAATTTTGTGGAGGCGGGTTTAATAAATTCTACAAAAATAAAGATATTGTGAGGTATCATATTACAGTAAATACACCACAGTAGAATGGTATATCATTCTCCTTGCATATCTTACTAAAAATCTGGAAAGGTATGATTAGGTAAACCCGTTGATTATTCCTCTCTTCAAATATTTGGATGTTTGGCAAATGCATATGTTAGTGAGGGGAAACTAGAGCCTACGACAAAGAATGCATCTTTCTTGGTTATGCTTCTAGTGTAAAGGGATATAGATTTTGTTGTGCTAATTTATCTAAAATTATCGTTAGCAAAGATGTTGCTTTTGATGAGTCCGTAAAGAATCGTTCATTCATTGTCATAAATTCTCGAAAGTGCTACGAAGAAGGCGGAGCTTGAAGTAATTTTTTCACAACTAGTTAAGTCGTTTACTGATAATATAAAAATTGAAAAACCTGAAGAAAACATAATTTTATTTCCAGAGATAGACCAAGAAGGACAGGTAAGCCTCCGTAGAATTATGGGTACTCAGATTTTATTGCTTATATCCTATTAGTTACACAGTCAGTCAACATACCTTTATCTATTAGCGCATTCATCGCTCTTTGGTAGTAATAATTTTCTTGGGGGGGGAGGGGGGGAATCTTTTTCCATTATACTTTAATATTTATTCAAATTTGACAAATTACGAAAAGATTATATTTGAATTAGTATGTCCACATTTGTATGCAGTGAAATTTAAAATGTCTCGGATAAGAAAAAAGTGAAAATGCATGAAACACAAGATTCATTGAAAATAAAAATTAAAAGTTCAAAGTGACAAACCTTCCGTTGGACCACGATCGTTTTGGGAAGCTTTATCAGTGGCTGTGCCTTTTGAATTCACGTCTATGTGAACCTCTTTGTTATCAAAAAAAGAAAAGAAGAAATAAACATATATACCTTAGAAAAATTAATTGCACTTTTTATGCTTTAGATCATCCATACATGACTAGTATCCGGCTCATTCATTGCATGGAATTGTTTGTGTTAAGCTTTGATGGTAAACTAAAAAGAAAATTTAACTTTAAAGTTAACGGAGGTCATGATTTTTTTTTAAAACTTATTGTATCATGAATTATTTTTGGAGGACCTTGTAACTTTCCAATGCTGACAATGTGTTTTTTAGTTACTTTTTATTTTGTTGTCACCATTGATCTTATCCGTGATATCATTTAGGAATTATGAGATAACTCTTTTACTCTTTGGAAGTCAAAAGGTATTTTTTGGGGGCTTTCTCAATTATAATAAAGCATGTTATTCAGCTTTTAAATATTAGAAAAAGATTATATTTGGATTTATATGTCAGCATTTGAATACTGTGCAGTTTAAAATATTTTAGATTAAAAAAGTCAAATTGCATGAAACACGATTTTATGAATAACGAAAATTAAAAATTCAAAGTTACAAACATTCAGTGGGTCCGTGATCGGCTTGGTTAGCTTTATCGGTGGCTCTGCTTTTTGACTCACGTCTACGTGAACATCTTTGTTACCAAAAAGAGAATTCAACATCGATAACCGTGAAAAAATTATTAACAGTTTACATGCTTTGGATTATCCAAACATGACTTGTATAAATTGTCCGTATTAAAATTAGATGGAAAACTTTTAAACAAGAAAAAAGTTTAACGTTAGGTTTAACAGAGATCCGATTTTTTTTTTGAGATAGGTATTACACCAAAAATTAGTTTCGTAGGACCTTCTAACTTTCATATCTTAGATATTGTGTTTTTTAGTGAGTTTTTATTTTGATCTTTTCCGCATCATTTATTAGTTAAGTCGATGCAAAATTTTATCACTATCCATAATTTCACATAACCATTATAACAAGACTATACATAAATTAAAATAAATTGATTAACTTAATCAAATTAATTTCATCAATTAATACTATTTCTTTATAAGTTACACTTGAGGAAAAGTATCAAAAAAGTCATAAACCTATTAGATTGGTACCAATTCAGTCATAAACCTTTTAATTTGACCAATTTAGTCCTATACCTTTTCTCATTGGTACCAGTTCAGTCCATCCGGCTAATTTAAGACGTAAATGGCTGATATGGACGTCGATGGTGCCACGTGGACAAATTTTTTAAATTTTTTCTCTTTTTTTTTCTTTTCCCAAAATTGATTGGCCGGCGATAGGCTAGTCTGGGCGAGGGCTGCCTCGCCCTCGCCGGCCACAGGCGAGGGCGTCGAACCCTCACCTAGATCCAGGCGAGGGCTGAAACCCTCGTCTATTGGCCGGCGAGGGCGTCGCCACCCTTGCTTGTAGCGAGCGAGGGTTTCGGCCCTCACCTGGATATGGGCGAGGGCGTCATGGCTGGTGAGGGCATGGCAGCCCTCGCCTATGGCCGGCGATGGTCGACCAACGACCTCGCCGGCCAAACAGTTATGGGAAAAGAAAAAAAAATAAAAAACATTAAAAAAATATGAAAAAATAATTATAAATTTATAAAATTAGTTCATGTCAGTGTTGGCGGTGTCACATAGGACTGCCGGCATCCACGTCAGCGATTTCCAGCCTAAATTGATCAGATGGACTGAATTTGTACCAATATAAAAAGATTTAGAACTAAATTGGTCCAATTGAAAAGTTTAGGATTGAATTGGTACCGATGTAATAGGTTTAGGACCTTTTTGGTATTTTTCCCGTTATCGTTGATATAGGATACCAGTTGATAACATTATCACCGTCATACTGATGCACCGCATGGTTTCTTTCTTAAACAAAGTACACCGATCGAGCTTTATTGATTGACTTAACGGTTAGGAAAAATAATTGATCTATTTTTTCTGACAAAATCCATATTATTTTGTCTTGTGCTTGTGGCAAGAACTTTACACCATTCCTGTACCTTAGACAAAATGAATCAATTAGCTGTATTTGGTGGTCACACATTGCTTTTGCATTTTGAGTTCGGGGAAATTAAATTTTTTTGGTCCCTGTAGGTTGAAATATGTTACTTTCAATTGTTTGACAATAATTCCAATTCTCATACTATTTTGTGGTGAAAATTTAAGTCACTTTGTCAAAATTACAAGGACAAAAAAATGTTATTTTCCTGACTAATTTTAAAGGAAAAAATTACCAAAAAAGTCCTAAACCTATTGCAATTATGTCAATTCAGTCTTAAACCTTTTTTTGGGCTAATTCAACCCTAAATCTTTTACATTTGTGTCAATTCAATCCATCTAGTTAACTTTGGACAGTCGGCACTGACGTGGACACCGGCCGTCCGAGTGACGCTGGAGTGAATAATTTTTAATAATAATTTTTATTTTTTCAAAAATTTTATTTATTTATTTATTCTTTTCCTTTACCTTTTACTTTTAATTTTCTTCCTTCTTTCCCATGCCAGCCACTGGGCGAGGGCCATGAAGCCCTTGCTTGCTGTCGGCGAGGGTCACTGCCCTTGCTTGGCCTCGCCCAAATCTAGGCCAGGCTTGGGGGCCGCGCACGAGGCAAGTCTCACTAGCCGTGGGCAAAGGCGGCCATGGCCTCCCTAGTCGCGAGCGAGGCCGAGTCGATGAGGGATTCGTAGCCCTTGCCCAATGGCTCGCGAGCCTCGCCAGTCGATGTGGGAAAGAAGGAAGAAAATGAAAAGAAAAATAAATATTATAATAAATAAATAAATAATATTAAAAATTATCTACATCAGTGCCGGCCGGGGTTCATGTTAGCACCGACCGGCCAAAATTGGTCGAGTGGGCTAAATTAATACAAATACAAAATGTTTAGGAATGAATTGACAAAAAAAATTTTAAGATTGAATTGGCATAATTGCAATTGGTTTAGGACTTTTTTTTTTATAATATTCCCAATTTTAAACTAAGTTTTGTTCCAAAAAGAGTGATTTGAATTTCTGACGATTTAATTGGACTTTCCAAATTATCTAGAAGTCATTTTCCGTTGGTTGTTTCAGAAAATTCTAAACAATGTTTTTTCAGGAAACATACTTGAGTTTGACGCGTGATTTTAGGTAACGAAGACTTGGGTCAAGAGAAAAACTATAATTGCATGACTGCCAGCTTTGTTGAATCAATATATCTGCCTCTCGAGTCGGCTCATGCGTCATTACGCCATTTTTCTAAAAACAAAATCACCATCAAATCCCTCGTGGTATTTAGAGTGTGTTGGTTCACAAAAGTATCTAATAAAAACTGTTCTGTTTTTCATCTTCCATTTTCAGGAAAATATGTTTGGTGAATGAAAAATATGAGTTTTCAGCAGGAATGAAAATTGTAAAAACATGTTTGGTATAGTTTTTAAAGCAATCCTTGAACAAAATAATGTTAATTTCGATCGTTTTTAGTTTTAGAGTTCAAGTTTTGAAAACTGTCGCGACCTCCCCGAACCGGCCCCGCCGTCTAAGGTGGTTTGGCTAATGGATTACTAAGTTAAACCTAGCTCGAGCTCTCCCAAGCCCATACCAATTCGCGACTTAAGTTTAAGTTGTTAACATGCAAATCAATTTCACCTAGGAGTCGCCACTAATCAGTTTTTGATAGGTCGATTAGACACCTAAGTAAAGCACGGGAGAAAAGCTTCACTTCTACGAACTAGAGATTCAATAGGTACGGGGACTTGATTACACTAATTGACTAATTAGTGCCCTTTCGGTACCAAATTTTGTTCAATTCACCACCTAACATACTCACACTAATTGGGAGTCTCAAAATTCCATTCCTAACTAAGCTAAAGAAAGCAACAACCAACGCTTAGACCTAACATGCATAAACAACTACGTGCGAGGTTAAATTAAACACGCAATTCAAAGTGTGTGAACCAAGCAACATGAAATCAAACATGACACTAAACACATAATAGAACAAGAAAAATCAATTCCAAAATCCAAATAAAATTTTGATTTTTTTGAATTTTTTTAATAATTTTTTTAATTTTTTTTTGATAATTTTTTTGAAAATTATTTTTCTAATGTTACAATAATAAAAATAATATAAAGCAAACCAGGTCAAATCTCCGCATCCGACCCGGATAAAATATATATATTTTTTAAAAAAAATTTAATTACATTTTTTTTAATATTAAAATAATAAAATGACATAAAATCGGATCCGGGTCGGATCTCCACATCCGACCCGGGCGCGCCGGCCCGGGTCCACGACCGGACCGGGTTCATTTATTGAGCCCGGTCTGGCAAATAAAACAAATAAAGAAAGAAAAAGGGGCCTAGGCCGAATTTTTTTTAAAAAAAAAAAAAACAAAAGCCCAGCCCACTATAAATAAAGAAACTAACAACACTTCAGCCCAAATTCGGATTTTGGCCCACCCGCGAAAGGTTCAAGACCTAATAAAACACTAAAGCCCACACACTAAATAAAACCCTACCCGGTTCCGACCCGCGACCCGACCCGGACGTGCGTCGCCGTACCCGGTTGGCGGCCGCCACACCGCTCCCCGGGACTCGCCTGTACACCGGCCGCCGCTCCGACGTGGAGCGCACGTTCAACCATCGCCACACGCCGGCCGGCGTGGACACCGGCTTCCCCGAGCCCCGGCCGAGGTTTCTAGTCCGGCAGCCGAGCCCGTGCTCGGCCGCCGCGCGACGCACCCTAACCGGGGAGGTCAGGGCTCATGGCTCCGCGGCCGAGCCCGTGCTCTGCCGCTGTTAGAAATGCCCTGACCGGAGATGTTAGGGCTCGTAGCTCCACGGCCGAGCCCGTGCTCGGCCGCTGTTGGACACGCCCTGACCGGAGAGGTCAGGGCTTACGACGCCACGGCCGAGCCTGTGCTCGGCCGCCTAACGCGGACCGCTCTTGTTCGTCGGCGACACACCAGATCTTCCGCCCTAAGCCCGGATGCGACTAAGACACCGCCAATGAAGGGAGAGACACCAGAACGCAGCATGCTCAAAGGAAAACAACGAGCGGATCTCATTTCGGCAAAGCATCAAACAGCTGGAGTGCGTGGCAAAAATCAGAAATTTCCGACTCGATCAAGACTCAAATGTGTCCGGGATTCACACAGAACCATATGCAGACCAGCAGGACCGAGCCCAAGGTGTCACGGGCCGGAACTCGCGCAAGCCGGACGGCCGCGAGCTCCGGCCAGTGACCCCCCCAAAAAACAGAGTTAAAATGAAAGCAGGGGAGGTGGCCACGGTCCCTACCCGACTAGGCGGTGGCGAATGGAGGGCGAACGCGGTAGATCGGGCTACACCCGCGCGTCTCGCACACCTACGAGCCGGGATCCTCGGGAGACCAACCCCTAATCGGACCAAACCGAAACGAAACCCGGCGAGTGCTCGGGACCGGGACCTACCGTGAAAAGGGGCTCGTCGGCCGCGGCTGAGGCGCGACGGTCACCGACCGGGGACCGTTCGCCTTCGATCTCGCTCTCCGGACTCTCTCTCTCTCTCTCTAGCTCTCTCTCGGCTCTCTCCCCCGGAACTCTCTGCAATCCCCCATTTCTCTCTCTCTCCTCGATTTAAGGACGGCCAGGGGCGCGGATCCGGCCGGCAGGAGCGCATGGACCCTGCCACCGCCAGCCTGCCGTGGCCGGCCTGCCCTCGACCCAAGGATAGCGCCGGCGTCCCCCGCGCCCCTCTGGCTTCTGTGTCCTGTGGCCTCTGCACTGTTTCGGTCTTCTCCCCCGTACGTTTCAGAAGGTTGACTGGTGGGGAAAGATGGACAGACGCGGGCCGGACCGAGGGAAAGAGGGCCGGCCCGCGTGGAAAAATAAAAAGGGAGGAAAAAAAAGGCCGCGCGAAAAAATAAAAAGGAGAGGGAAAAAAGAATGGGCCGACAAACCCGGTCCGGAAATCCTTTTTTTCTTTTTTTTGTGTCCTAATAGGCCCTATTAATGCAAATGTGCCTAATGTCTATCCGTCATGCAATTTAATGAAAATATTTTTGCTAAGGGATTAAAAGATTAAACCCTGATTTTTATGCGATAAAACCCTAAATGATTTGGGCAAAATTTAGGTGTCAACAAAAACAAGGCAACCAAAACTTCTACCAACGTATTTTCGTGGAGAAATTTGGAAAAGAAAGATTTGTTACAATTTTCAATACATTACCTGTTCATAATATCGTCCCTTGCTTACATTACTTTGAAACATAGATGAAAGAAGTGAAACTTTTCCAATTTTTCCATCACCTCATGGAATCAAATCAGAACAATAAAGGAAAGACCGGAACATACCTGACAACGGTTTCGAAATCGAACTGCGTTGGGTATCCATAGAGGATTCTTTGTCGTGCCGTCTTACGAGCATGTAAAAATCTAAAGGAGAGAAGTAGTTTAACGCAGTTGAAGTCGAAGTTATATTCTGTTCAACTTCTCTTGTGGATGGAGCCAAAGTTCCAGCTGTAGATGTCTTTTAATTTTAGGGTTAATACCACCAAAAACCCCAAACTGGTACACATATGATAATTTTACCCCGAACTTTTTTTTTACCATCAAAAACCCCAAACTGGTACACCTGTGACAATTTTACCCAGAACATACCACGAAACACCCCAAACTGGTACACATGTGACAATTTTACCCCGAACTAAAATTTTAATATTGTTTTTTATTTTTTTGAATTTTTATTGATTTTTTTGTTTTTTCTTTTCTTTTTTTTTTCTTCATCCTCAACCTCTGGCCGGTCACCGGACCGGCGACCGGCCAGAGGTGGAAGTCGGTGAGGTCGGCCCCGCCGGCTGCTGGCGACGCTCGACCTCGCCAGCGTTGGCTAGGGTGACCCTCACCTGCATCAAGCGAGGGCTACCCTCGCCGGCGTTAGGCGAGGACAGCTCTCGCCTTACGCCGGCGAGGGCAGCCCTCGCCTGAGTCGGGCGAGGGTGGCCCTTGCCGGCGTCGGGCGAGAGCTATCCTCGCCCCCCAGGCAACGGCGACCCTCGCCCGACGCCAGCGAGGGCAGCCCTCGCCTGAGTCGGGCGAGGGCGGACCTCACCTGAGTCGGGCAAGGGCGGCCCTCGCCTGGGCGGGTGAGGATAGCCCTCGTCCGACACCGGCAAGGTCGAGCCTCGCCAGCGGTCGGTGGGGCCGACCTCGCCAGCTTCCGCCCGGCGATCGACCAGAGGTTGAAGATGAAGAAAAAAAAGAAAAGAAAAGAAAAGAAAATTTAATAAAAAAAATTCGAAAAAATAAAAAATAAAATTAAAAAATTATTTGTTCAGGGTAAAATTGTCATAGGTGTACCGGTTTGGGATTTTTCGCTGTCAAAAAAATAGTTTAGGGTAAATTTGTCACGGGTTTACCAGTTTGGAGTAAAATTGTCACAGGTGTACTAGTTTGGGGTTTTTAGTGGTGAAAAAAAAAGTTTGGGGTAAAATTGTCACAGGTGTACCAATTTGGGGTTTTTTGTGGTAAAAAAAAAAGTTCAAGGTAAAATTGTTACACGCGTACCAGTTTGGGGTTTTTGGTGGTATTAACCCTTAATTTTAAAGGGATAATGACTCAAATAATCCATAAACTTTGGCCCAATGTGAAATGTGGTCCCTGAATTTTAATTTGTTCGATATAGTCCCTGAACTTTAGCCCAATGAATAATGTGATCCCTAAACTTTTAATTTGTTTAATGTCATCCCTGAACTTTTGATACATGTTCAATTTAGTTGTAGATGTCTTTTAATTTTAAAGGGATAATGACTCAAATAATCCATAAACTTTGGCCCAATGTGAAATCTGGTCCTTGAATTTTAATTTGTTCAATGTAGTTCCTGAACTTTAGCCAAATGAGCAATGTGATCCCTGAACTTTTAATTTGTTTAATGTCATCCCTGAACTTTTGGTACATGTTCAATTTAGTCCATGAACTATATGAAAATGTTCGATGTAGTCTCTGAACTTGAATTAATGGGCAAGGAGGTAGGAGGCGAAGCGGAGACGGAATCAGAATCGGGTGCTAGTGGCAGGAGCGGCGAGCGATTCCAAGTTGGTGATTCGGTTGCAAGCAGCAGAGGCATCTACGCAAGGATAATGAATGATGTCATTGCCACCGCGGCCACCGTTGGTCCACGTCAGGCACAGAAGGCAACGGCAGCATCATCTGCGCTGGGTGGTGGTGGCCGTCGCTGTCGATTCGGATACGGACGGAGTCGAATGATGAAAATCCGTCATCGGGAAGTGGATGAGTAACTGCCTCTACATCTTTTTAGGGAGAGAGATAGAGAACTTGATTCCTGAGAACATTCGCATGGGAGTTGGGGATTTGTGCTGCTTGGGCCAAAGTTTAGGGACTATTTATGTTATTATCCCAAAAAATAAAGTTGGAACGCTAAAAGATGCCTTTTGTACAACGCTAAGAAGCATCAAAATCACTGGGAAAGTAACATCGTGGTATTCTGATACTTGCTAGGTGTCTCAACATGAAAAAATAAGGCATAATCTATAAATGCAAGGGGTGAATTCCCTTAAAAAAAATCCCTAACCTTAGGTAAAGTCCCAAATCTACTCCGAACTTTTTTTTATCTTAAAAAAAACCCCAAACTTTAGGTTCAGTCCTAAATCTGCTTCAAACTTTTTTTAATCTAAAAAAAAACTCCAAACTTTAAGTTTAGTTTCAAATCTGCCTCGAATTTTGTTTTGTGTAAAAAAAATTAGCAAATTTCAATTTATTTTCAAAAATATACCCCGTGATCCAATTCCAACTTGACGTGGCACTTCCACGTCGATGACAAATCTACATCAACAAAGTAATGGGGCGATAGGTAAGAGTGATTTGCAATATCTATAAAAAAAAAATAAGACTAATTTTGAGGTTACACGATTAAGTTGATGGAACAATTCATGCATCTAAGCTATCAAAAGAAAAATTAAATGTTGTAAAAGTTATTTTTCATGATTGCGCATATTTTGGTGATAAATGTTTAAAACAATTGTTTATATGACATTTAGATTCTATTTGGGATTACCTAGAGGCTGGATATTTAAGTTGTTGGAAGAAATTCCTGCATCTAAATTATAAGAAGAAAAAACTAAAAAAAATTAATTTTTTGAAAGTTCTATTCCATGAATTGAGCATATTTTGGTACTAAATGTTTGAACATAATTGCCTATGTATGTGTAGATTCTATTTGGAAATATCCATAGGATGAAAATTTAAATTGATCCGGTGATTTTATACATAGATTTTTTGTAACAAGGTAGGGAAACATAATTTTGCATAGAAATTGTCCATATGCTTTAAGGAAATACAATATCATATTGGACCCGCTACAACCAACTATGACCAAGACTTATACGCTCAAATCAAATTCGTCATGATCTCGTCCGATAATTAAGCCTCACTTCCAAATGTCCTCGGCACGAAAGATGCTCGGCCCATATGTGGATTTAACCATTTGGTACAGCAGGGGAAGCTGTAGTGCTACGAATAAAGCCACGGGGAGGCAGGTTAGCAGAGTAACGGGAATGAGAACCCACTCCAGCCTCTTACCTAGCACAATTGTGAGAGTTGCAGCGAAGGCCACCAGCATGAAAGCCAAGGAGAGGAAGAGAAAACAAAGGCCCATTATAATCTTCTTAGGCAATGATTCAAGAAAATCTTGTGGCTCATACCGCGAAGTTAAGATGGCTAGGAATAGCAAGATGGCCGTCACGGAGAAGAACAAACCTAAAGCATCCGAAATTGCGAAAACCAGGAGAGAGTCCTCTCCTAACAACAATGGCACTCCAGTATTTCCGTTATTCCCTCCAGGCACAGTGAATGCAGCAGCGAATAATATTGTAGCAATTAGAGTTGAGACGAGCATACATGAATTTGCTGTGTCCTTCACCCACTTCTCTCCTTTCTCAAGCAACTCATTGTGTTGCTCCACGAATATGTCCCAATATGATTTGGAATCAAATGTGACGATTCTCACAAAAGGTTCAATCCACTTTTCCACAGCCTATGCATAAGAGTCAAACATGAATTACAATAAGTGGATTAATTATTGAAAATTTTCAGAAAAAACTTATAAAGGAACATTTCAAGGAAATTAAGACTTATTCAACACTTAATGCGAAATTGCTTATAGGTTAAGTCCATCTTTGCTGGAAAAATTCCTAGGGTCACCTTCTTCTAAGCTTCGATGATGATTTCATGCTTCATTATAGTCAAATAATATAACTTTTATCCGGTTTGGAGTCTTCTAGAGGAATTTATGGAAAAAATATGAAGAGCAAGTCAAGAAATCCGAGAATGAGTTTTTTAGTACTTCTATGTGTTTGTTGAGTCCTATGTGTTGTATTTTGTTTCTAGAGTCATATGAACGAGGGCAGCTGACCCTCGTTGGCGGTCCAGCAAGTGTCGTTGCACTCGAAGCGACCCCGACGAGGGTCCCCAAACCTTGCTAGTGGCAAAGGGGTGGCCTCTTCTTGTTCCTCTTCGATGATCTCTTTCTCTCTATGCTTTAACCTTCTTCTTCTTTTTTTTTTATTTTAACTCTAGCCTTTTCTATTTGTAGTTTTTGAGATTTGGTACCTATTTTGCGCCATATTAGTGCCACTTGTGCAAAACATATAAGAAAATAAAAAAAAATGCCACGTAGATGTTCTGTCCACAAAAAAATTGACAGAACTAATGAAAGGACTAATGTGAAAAATAGTGTCAAGCTTTAGGACTTATTAAACATGAATTCAAAGCTTTAGGACTTTAGGTAATTGTCCAAAGTTCTTTTTTTAACGACAAAGAGGAATAGTGTCGAAATAAAATAAAGGTAAATATATAGTAAAAGCTTCATGAATTATTTTTTTTTTGTAGACAACGGTTTGCATGAGTAAATTTTAGTTAATAGTTAAATTAACTAATGAGAAGTGTTCTTGAATTAATAGCGAATGAAAATAGTGGCCATAAATGAACTTATATAACCTTTTGATTGAAAAAGAGAAGATTCAATTCATATTACTTTAATTAAATCATTATCCATCTACATACATTTAATTATATATGAACTACACTATAATCTTAAATAATTCAATGGAACGAGCAAAGCTATCGTGAAAGTATAAGCAAAACTGATTTAAATGTTTTCTTGGGCTCCACCTTAATATGTGGGCTATAAATGACGTGATTTGCATAATAATCTGCTAATAGCATGTTGGCGGACACCGATAGAAAAAGTCGGTAGAATTTAAGAAAGAGTCACTTGGATTAGATTAAGTGGTGGATCATAGTTATATTAGTAAAATTGAATTATGATTAGTCTCAATCAGTGTCAATGCCCCAATGTCTCTAATCAGTCTCTCCTATTTTTTGTAAATTGTTTTAAGGATGTAGTGTTGTTTCTCAACTTACCTTACTAATTTGTGTTTAGCATGTGGAATTTAAAAGTTCTACGTACCAACAAAGCGTTGGCTTAGTTTGCAAAAGAATTTCTTGTTCTTATAGTGGGCTTGGATTAGCGGTGTCAAACAGGTGAGTTGGGTCGGGTTCGGATCGAAAATGGTTTGACCCATATTGACATTTAACCCGTTTTGACCCATATTTATGTAGTGCAAATCTAGCGACCCAAATCCGACCCAACCCATACCCGACCTGACTGACCCGTATTGTTAAAAGACTTTAATATTAAATCCAATTTAGAAAAACTTGTTTCTTATAAATTTTTAAAAATATATATAACTTTTATAATTTTTAAAAAAATTATGATTTTTTTTTATTTTTTCTTTGTTTGTTTTCTTTTTTCCTTCTACATCCAGTGACCCGGTGACCAGTGGTGACCAACAACGTTCGGCAATCGGCGATGACCGGCGACCAGCGACAATCGAAAACTGGCGACCGGCGACTGGTGACCGTTGCCGGATTTCCTAGAAAAAAAATGGAAAAGAAAGTAAAAGGAAAAAAACTTAAAAAATAAAAAATTATGAAAAACCAGAAAATTAAAAGAATTAAAAAAATGACTTATCTATTTATGACTCACTTAAACTTATTAAATAACTAACACATTTATGACCCATTTAAAATCCATTTAAGACCAATTTAAGTTGTTAACTAACCCATTTATGACCCACTTAAACTTGTCTTTAAAACTTAAGGTAATCCATTTATGACCCACATTATTAAATATGGATTAAAATATGGATTTTAGATCCATTTTGCCACCTCTAGCTCGGATTCAAGTCATATTGAAAGCATTTCAGAAATGAAGTTTGAATGCACCATACGGATGTAAGGTGGTCTACCCTTAAAATCACCCAAGAAGGTAGACCTCGTGGTGCGCAAAAGCTTAGCTGGATATCGCTTAGTTACTATAAAAAAATTGTTTTATGTATATTCTCAAGACTATCAGATAAAGTTCTAGCTATCATATTTTAAAGAATTTTTTCAAGAAGATATAATATTTATCATTAAGTGCCGTTTAAATATATGAAAAGAAAGATACTTACCTTAAACCATTGGAGTTCTCTTTGCATTTGAAAAGCTGCTCCGGCAACTTTAGTTACTGCATCGAACTTAGGGTTGTATTTAGCTGCTATGGACATCACATCGTTCGATTCTTCCCACGTAGGCGCCGGAACTATTGACAACTCACTGGTTGAGCTTACCTTTAAAAAGAGTCCGAGAGTCCTTTCTTGGCGAAACTTCACAGCATGTGCCATCAAACTTCTACCATGAGGCGAAATCCAAATAAGCTCCGGGAAAAACTTAATACATAGCTTCACCATTTCTCTGATTCCCCTGCTTGTAGCTTGAAACAACAAACCCTCTTCAATAAACTGGGCGATCTCGGTAGTATTCATATAAGAGATTGCAATGCAAACTTGTTTTGCCAGCTCGGCTGCCGATAGGTGTCTCAGCTTCACCTCGTGAACTCTCTTGATTATAGGAACTACAAAATGTCAAAAAAAAAAACAGAAAAAGAAAATGAAAAACGAAGGGGCGGCAATTGGATTTAGAAAAAACTTCTCCAGCTCTGGATTTTTCTTAGACACCAAATTGCATCTAACAACAGTTTACTAATTGTCTTTGACCACAAAAAAAAACAGTTTACTAATTGTCATAATTTCTCACATTTAGAGCTTGGTTTGTCGGGTGATTGGGAAAACGATCTCATTCTTTTTCCTTTATCTTTTACTTTTAGGAAAGCGATTTTGAGCTTTTTTCTCCTTTGGGATTCAGTCCTCAATTTCAAAGTGTGAGTTTTAGATTGCCGATGCAAAGCACCAGAAAAGGTATAAAATCATTTCTGGCATTTTCCAAGAAAATGTTTATATCATGTTTGGATGAAAAAAAAATGGATGTGAAGAAAGTAGAAGTGATTAGAGGGTAGTTATCTTCCTTCGAAGTTCAAACGACGCTTTACAATGTTTATTATTATTAAGAGAATATAATTATAAGACTTAACCTGACAGAACAACTCTGAAAATAACCACGCTAACGATATCTATCTAGCTAGAGTAAATCACAGTAATCTTTTCATATATAAGATTATTTTAGATAATATTATTCGAATATGCGTAGCAACTAGTAATAAACAAGTTCATATTAATCGTGCAATCCAATATTGTTATTTATGCTCAGCACAAGAACAAAAACTTTTTCTTTCTCCATCTATTGTCTCTAACAAATCAAAACTTCCACGAGGTCACATAATGGTAAGTGACGTTCCAGTTTACTTGTTACACCTAAATGACATAGTGAGTAGATTTAAATTGACTCTATTCTAACATAACTTTTAATCTGATAGAAAAACGCAACACACTATCTTCTGTTTTCTTTTTGTTCTTGGACAAAAATAGAAGAATTAGGGACAAGGCTAAACGGTATGTGGGGTGCATACAAAAGTTGTGTGAAGATGACAAGTGCAACTATGGGCAAAAGTTTTGAATGAGTTTTGGGAACTAGAGGACTTATTTTAGTGGTCAGGTAGTGTTTTGGCTAATTTTCGCTCGCTTCGAGTGGTCCACCTTCTCGGATAATCTTAAGAGCGCGTTCTCCAATATCAGCCCTAATATATTTAGGATCTTATTTTCTGGAGTGCTTCCAACAAATTTAAAATACAAGATTATAATAAGAGGACAAAACTCCTTTAATATCTAACCAACAGCTTGTTTACATAGGATGTACTTGGGGTGCAATTCCGGGATGCACGATTTTGTTGGGACCCACGAAATTCGCTCCCCCTCAAATATTCTTCTATTCGAAGCCCTCCCAAACAAATTATTTCGATTTTTCCTACCTGCTCCTATTCCAATTCTTCACGCCTTTTTAAAGTTGCGATTAAATGATAAACCCCTGCCATCGTCTATTGCAACCTTATTTCATAGTCAATAATGTGAGGGGCTTGCCCCCGGTCGCATTCCCAATTCTGGCACCCTCGCAACGTGTTCTTTCGTGATGTTTTGAGATGAAGTAGCAGTCTAAGAAAAAATATTTAGGCTTTAAGCACTTCACCCGTAATGGAGGAAACAAATACACATGGGTTCATTTTTCTTATTTTTTCAGAAAGATTTATATGTTTGATAGAGATGATAAGCGAACATGATTTCACCAATCAAGATTGAAGGAGAACTCTTAGGTTTACGTAACTCTTATTCGATATTTTCTGCTTAGATCATTAAGCCACAAGCAAGAGATTCAAAGGTTAACATCAAATCTCGCCTCAATTTGCAGTTTCAGTTTTCTTTTTTTACTTTTTTTTAACAATTTCGCCAATCTTGTAATTAAAATTTGGTGAATATCTGAAATCTTTCAAAATATAAAAATATTAATACTGAAATTCATATATAACTTTGTTTAAGATTGAATAATTTTTTGAAGGATTTTTATTGTTCCATCAAACATTGTGAAGAACAAGTTACACATTCACTGTTGGATGATTGACAAGTGGAAAAATTTAAGTACAAAACTAACTTCAAACACAAATACGACCCATCCTATGGTGAATGTGTAATGGTTTTTTCACACATGGTGGACCTTACACAAATTATTTTCCAAATTATGGCAAAGATTTAAGTGGGAGCTTTTCTCAACTTATAAAAGAAGTCAAAAACAAACAAGCCTTAGTCATTTGGTTGAAGTGAGAGGGACAGAGATAGAGACGCTATCTTGATAAAATGGAAGCGTACCTACAAATTTGGCGGCATTCCAAAGTGACCTTGTAAGATATTGAAGCACTGCAATCAGATTGTAGAAAAAACCCGGTCACCATATTTGAAATCATTACAGGACCTCGTAATTCGTTACTTACATTGTCCATTTAATTAAGTTTTACGATACTTATGCACTTGATTGAATCATGTATGGTTCCCAGGGAGTAGCTGATCCATAAAGTAGTTCGATTTCATGCCATTATTAACGAAAATATATTTTTACAAAGAAACAGTCATTTCCGGTTTCTTTTGCTCGCACGGAGGGAATCAATCTAAGGAAATTGACTTGAAGTTCAAAATCATGAAAGGTCCTAAGATTAATGCCCAACAGCAAAAATGCATACCCACATGGATCCGAATTTTTATCTGTTGGTTTGTAGTTCAAGTCCACCGGAATACCTTCAGTTCATAAACAAAACAGCAGGTGATGAGCCAGGTACGATCATCCGAAGGGAATCAGTAATGAAGGGATGCAAGTGCAGAAAGTACGGACATTTGTATATCAATGCTTCCAAAACACTGAGCCTGGTTCCGCTGGGAAACTGATTCGGCATCACCGCCAACACGTGCAGTATAGATGGGTTGGCATAGTTTGTGTTTTTCATGGTAAGTAAGTGAGGGTACCGCCAGACTAGATAAAGGGTGATATCTATCCCAATTCACCAACAAATTGATTAGGAAAATAAGGTAAGTTTAAGGCTCTATTCGTTTCGCGAAAAATGTGATGTTTTGGAAAATGATTTTTAGAAAAATGATAATATTTTCCGATGTTCGGCTGAAATCTGAAAACCGAGCTGAAAGATATTTTTCACCATTTGATATCTGATTTGATTTTCTAGGGAAAATTAAAAAAAAAGCCGAATTTTTTAAATTATTTTTCTTTATTTTCCTTTTCTTTTCTTTTTACTTTTGCTTCTTCCGGCGAGCTTGAGCATTGCCAGCTTGTGGTGAGGCTCGAGCTCACTTGTGGCCAGTTGCCATGGCCAGCAACCGACCGAGGACGAATAAAAAGAAAAAAAAATTAAATACCCAATTTAAACAAAAAGAAAAGAAAAAATAAAGAAAAATGTATATGGTGAAAGAAAGTGAGGTAAAAGAAGATATGAAAAATGTTTTCTGCTTTCTGAAAAAGCGGAAAACAGTTTCCCCACTTTTGAAGGTGTTTTTTTCATTGGCAAAAAATACTTTTCCTTGACTAGCTTATTTTGCGTGAACTGAACACTGAAAAATCCGGAAATCATTTTCTTCAAAGTTATTTTTCGCGAAATGAACGAAGTCTAAAACGAAGGAAAACTAATGGAATTAAGATAAAGAACGATGGTGATCTTACCATGATGACCAGAGTAGGTGAAATCTAAAATGGGTTTAATCGCAGAGGGACCGCTGAAGGGATTACTTGGCCCATCATTTGTCGTACTTTTTGCCAGGAACCAGGCAATCTCCTTATGCATAGAAGCTTCCAGAGAAGATATTGCCAAAGGAACACGTCCTTCATTATCTGCAAGTTGCGTCAACTTAGGATTACTTCTAACTAATGCCTTGACCTTCCTTATCCTTCCACACAGGACAGCATTGTGGAGGGCTGTGCGGCCATTACAATCAACCATTTCAAGCGCTTCCAGACATGGAGACAAGAGCTCAACCAGGTTCTCCAGAAATTGGTCTTGTGCACTCAAAGCGGCTATGTGAAGCACTGTTTCTGATCTGCTTGTTATTTTGGCCGTCTTTGAAGCAGAATCTCGTTCAAAAAATCTTTTAGCAGATTCCCAATCACCCTTGAATGCAGCTTGCAGCAATGGTCGGTAGTAGTGTCCATCCACTTCCTCTTTCGATATTTCTGCAATAGATGCATACTTTTCAGGCCATGTTGTTAATACGTTTTCCTTGAAGACATTGAGAAGGGTCCCAGAAAAGAACAATTTCATGAAGATCCGCCCCTGATAGTAATTTCACTCTGAAATTACTCTTTTGAGGGATAACGCACCTGGAGCACCTCCGGATTCAGAAGGGGCTAATCCAACGCTTACACGAACATCTTCAATATATGTAGGAGAAAGAGTGAGCATAAAATCCGTCCCATACTGATTATTTTTATCTTTTCTCTTTTTCCTAGCCAAGGTCAGGGTTATGTCTATTCGACGATAAAGCAAAGACAAAGAACCATGATAAAATAAAAGTGCCAGCATGTTTTAAGACGGCATCACTTATATCTATTTTTTTCTCGGTTGGAACATGCAACATGTACCTGCAGGTTGTTCTGCTTGATCCGAATTTCTTGATCCATCACTTGGCTGCGCCGCCATTGGGTTGCTCTCCTGGTTAGAGTTTTTCAACAACGAAGTAAACGGAGAATGCAAAAATGGGTAAGATATTCAGCTATTAAAGAGTTTTAGTCTCCCTTTGGGGGAGTCCACTCCTTCCTTATATACAGGTACCTGCCTTAAAGTAAAGACGAGCCTCTACAATTACAACAAGCAAGCATATCTTTTTTTCCACTTTATAGCGGTTGGATTTAGACATGGCCACGGTTCAGGAACCGCCGGTTCCGGTTCCTGGCCATGTATGAACCGGACGGTTCCGGGCCGGTTCCGGTCCGGTTCCGGTTCCGGGCCGGTTCCGGGTCGGTTCCGGTCCGGTTCCAGTTCCGGGCCGGTTCCTTCCGGTTCCGGTTCCAGTTCTGGGCCGGTTCCGGTTCCAGTTCCTGCCGGTTTCGGTTCATAATTTAAAATTTTAAAAAAAATTTATGAAATAAAAAAAATAATGAAATTATGAAATAATGAATTATTCAATATAAATTGTAATCAAATTTGGGGACAAAAAGAGAGAATGAGGGGGCTTGAACTTAATAAATTATCATTAAGCGCCTTACAATTAGTTACAATGATCTATAAAAAAAAAAGGAGCACAATATATATGCCCTAAAATGACCCAAAAACCTAAGGTACCGCATGATAACCATTCTGGTTCAGTCCAGAACTGGTTTTTTGTTCCCAGAATCAGTTTTGGATTAGAAACCCGTTTGTTAACGCAATTTCATTTTTCTATTTCCGGGACAAATTTTTGTTCCAGAACCGATTCTGAACTAGAAATCAGAACAAAAAAAATGTTGGTTTTTCATTTCTTGAACAAAACTCAGAACCATTTCTGAGGAACAAAGGTCAGAATCATTTCTTAAAAAAACATGTCTGTCTCTCGTCTCCTCTCATCCCTTTGATCTGAAGCCCGTCTCTCTCTGTCGTCGTTGAGAGGAAGCCAGGGCCGCTCGCTCGCTCGCTTCGGCCGAGAGGAAGCCAGGGCCGCTCGCTCGCTCGCTCCTGCTCCACGTAAGCTCCAATCCTGCGCTGGATCTCCTCTCATCTCTCTCTTTTCTGGATTTGGAAGTCGCCGTGATCGGGGGGGTCAGCTTCGGCCTTGCCATGGCCGCCGGTCGACTTCGCCGTCGCCCAGATCTGGGCGACGGCGAGGTCGACCGCCAGACCTAGGCGAGGCCGCTCGGCCTCCCCCAGATCATGTTCAGCGGCAGAGGCAGTTTGGTGATAATCACAAACACTCATGGGGCTTTACCCGACGCCATGCTCATTCTCGGTGAGTTTTGGTCGGTTTCGCATTTGCCGGACGGCTCGTGTTTCGGGCGCAGTTCCTGAGAAACTTTGAGAGAGTGAAGTGAAGTTGAGTAGTAGAGTAAGTTATAGTGGGCAGAAAATAGAGCGCTCGGTTACGTTTCCCTTCTGAAAATTTATCGTTTTGGTGTTTCACTGAATCTGAACTCTTGCTGTTGCTTTTTATATGATTGCAATTCATCGTAAGCTATTTTACCTGATGCAATTTGAGTGTTATCTGGAACCTGGATTTGGTAGGGATATTTCTGCCGAAGATGCAGATGTAATTGTCTGTCTTACTACTGGAGTAGCATCTCGATGTCCTGTACCTGCCCTGACCCTAATGCACTTCCACTGCCGTAGTAAGATTATCTACGATCCGAAGGACACCGCCAAGGTGGATTTGCTTTTCACTGGCTATAATGGGACTATACGTTCTGTAAGTGTTTTGTTTTTCGGGTCAGGATCCCGGATCCAGATGCAAAAAAAGATGCCCATATTCGAGATATGGCGAGATTTATACTTCGGGGATTGCGCACTACAAAGTGGATGACAATATCAAGTTAAATAGATTCAAGTGGCAGATGCTTGGTTGAGCAACGGAATATTGGAATGCATCTTCTTTTTACCGGTTACACATAATAATCTAGTCCTTTGGTCTCTGTTGCATAGCTTTATGTCATTAACTTCTGTAGTAAATCCTCTTGTGAGGATAAGACTAGTCAATTCTTTGCCTAAGTTGCATTTCTGTTGCTGAACAGTTTGGTTGATTGCTTTGTAACATTTTTAAACGCTCGGCACTGGTTGCTGGGAGTAGTTTTCATCACCTTGTCTTTTTCTAAACAAGAACGTTATATTTCCTACTCAGCTACCCAGTTTGGAAATTTTCACCTTTTCTGTGTGTCTAAGGGTTCCTCCTGTCTCTGATGATTGATGATGCGTTTATTCATTTGATGATTGTAATGAATTTCTCGAGAAATGCTTTTCATTATTGTTTTCTGCAGTATCTAGACTGTCTGGAAGCACGGAAACTGCACAAAGTCAAGTCTCTGTTGGAATGGGCTTGCTTGCGGGTTCAACTGTCATGCTTCTAACTGTCATATGGGGTTCGTGTGTTCTTGTTGGCAAGTGTGACCTCACGGATGTGACTGAGTCAGGCTTAGCTGCAGCGGATAATGAGGATACAAAAGGGTTTAGTTTGACAGGTTTGCCTTTTGCTAGCATTTCTCGATTATGTATGCCTATTAGAGGCTCTAAATGTAAGATCCTAATATTCTTCTTTAACGTGTATGTGAATGCCCTGTGTTTGCCTACTCAACCCTCGAGCAGCTTTTGCTGCTCACCTTTGAAAAAGTTGCTTTAGAGAGGCAAAAATTTGCTCACTTCCAGTTCCCTCCCTTGGGGATAGAGGTTTTATTTGGCTGGGAATATTGTTTGAGCTTCTATTGCGAGTGGTCATTACACAGTGGCAACGACAATCCCCCAAGCTGTGATCAAGACAAGATGGATAAGACCTTTTCCTAATGTGGTGATTCAAAGTACCCGTTTGGAAGTGCACAAGATGAGGTTATCGACGATACATCGACCGAAGAGGATATCGAGATCAACATGCTTAAGAAAAGAATTGCCAATCAATTGGCAATTGATAATAATATGGCGGAGATTCCATGAAAATGTGTTTCCGACTTTTCTAATGTATTTCCATTATTTTGTATTTGAGGATTTTTTATGTTGGCTCTTGTAATGTGACGTAGTATTTTGGGATCTCCTATATTGGCTCTTGTAATGTGATGTGCTTGGTTTACTTTTCTCCATAAGCATTTGGGATATTACGAGGAACGATGCATACTCACAAATATTGAGAGCAAATGTCGAGAGCGATGGTGGTTGAATGCTGAAGACCCGTTCTAGTGCTTGGCCATTTGCATTAATTTGATTGGAATTTGTGTGCGGGCGTACGTAACGTTACGAATTCAACGTAAAATTTAATTTCAAAACTTCACAAAATGGCTTAGAATACCTGTGGCCACCGGCTTTGAGCGAAATTTAAATTTTTTAAGGTGTCGAAAAAAAAATATAAAAATTAAAAATTTCAAAACTTCACAGAATGGCTTAGAATATTTGTGGCCACCCATTTCGAGAGAAATTTAATTTTTTTGAGATTCCCAAAAAAAATTGAAAATTTTCAAAACTTCATAAAATGACTTAGAATACCTGTGGCCACCAACTTTGAGCAAAATTTAAATTTTTTTAGGCCCCGAAGAACAAATAAAAAATTTCAAAACTTCATAGAATGGCTTAGAATATCTGTGGCCACCCACTTTGAATGAAATTTAATTTTTTTTAGGTGACGAAATAAAAATTAAGAAAGCAAAAATACCATTTGGGCACCTCAAAAATTTTAAATTTCACTCAAAGTGAGTGGCCAGAAGTATTCTAAGTCATTATGTGAAGTTTTGAAATTTTTGATTTTTTATATTTTTTTTGCACCTAAAAAAATTTAAATTTCGCTCAAAGTGGGTGGCCACAGGTATTCTAAGCCATTTTGTGAAGTTTTTAAGTTTTTTATTTTTTTATTTTTTTTGGCACCTAAAAAAATTTAAATTTCGCTCAAAGTGGGTGGCCACAGATATTCTAAGCCATTATATGAAGTTTTGAAATTTCTGATTTTTTTTATTTTTTTTGGGAATCTCAAAAAAATTAAATTTCCCTCGAAATGGTTGGCCACGGATATTCTAAGCCATTCTGTGAAATTTTGAAATTTTTAATTTTTTAAAATTTTTTTTGGGCATCTCAAAAAAATTAAAATTTACGCAAAAAGTGGGTGGCCACAGGTATCTAAGCAATTCTGTGAAGTTTTGAAATTTTTGATTTCTTGATTTTTTTTGGAAAAAATTCAACAAATTTCCTATTTTCCCGAAATCTGAAATTTTTTTTATTTTCTCGACATTTTGATGAATTTTTCTGGAATTTTTCAATTTTTTGGGCTTTTCTGGAATTTTTTTTGAGATTTTTAGGAATTTTTTTAATTATTTTTATTCCATTTTTAAAAAAATGGATTTCTATTGCTGGAAATAGAATTTTTTGTTGTTTATCAAACGGGTTTTTGTTTCAGGAAATAGAAATTTTGTGTTGTTATCAAACGGGTTTCTATTCCAGAAATAGAAATTTTTTGTCGTTATCAAACGGGTTTCTTTTCTCAGAAACTCATCCTGGAACCAGAAATAGAAAAATCTATTTCTGTTTCAGGAACTCATTCCGGAACAGAATGGTTATCATTCGCTACCTAAGCCTATCCGAACCCCCGCATTTCGTGCGCAGGGGTCACATGTTGTCGGATTATACTTCGGTTTCCCTAAGCTCACGTGGGCGTGCCCGGTATGAGAAACAAAGGTCCTCGAAATATTTGCCAACTCCAACAGTTCTTTTATCCTCAGTCGTCGTTACCTGTTCGGGTTCCGGTGGCGGTACCGGTACCGGTGGTATCTCCGTCGTTAAAGAATTCGGATTCATTATTCCGATCTATCTCTTGTTGTCGGTATTGAGCCTTCATCCAATCATCGACACAAGCTTGCATCTCCACTGATTCTGGAGCTAATCTTGAACGATGTTCGTCCAAAATATTACCTCCGGCACTGAATGCTTGTTCGACCGCAACTGTGGAACAAGGGGTTGCAAAAATTTGTTTTGCAATAAGAGAAAAGATTGGGTATTGGCTTGCGTGCCTCTTCCACCAATCCAAAATTAAAAAACCTGTACTACCTTCGGATTCAGTAAACTCAAAGGAAACGGTTAGATAAATCTCTAATTCAGAAATATTTCCTATTACTCCCTTTTGTTTTTTT